ATCTGTTAGAGAAAAGGCACTTGTAATTTGTGTGCCATGGAGCCTCAGGTAATAGCCAGAGTGGGGAGACCCATTTCACTGCTTTGTGGCTCTGTGTAGGAGGAGGGCTCAGAGAGGGGATGGTGCCACTTCCTGGCTTCTGGAGGTTTGCTGGGTACTCACCTTATTTCCAGTCACTTCACTTACTCTGTATATGTTATTGTTGCCCTTACAGCTGTTGCCCTGGTGCTGAATCCCAGAGCGGGGTGAGTCTGTGTAAATCCTAAGTCCATTTGGGCCTTTTAAGAGGAGTCTCCTGGGAATCTGACAATTTCTTCTGCCACCCAGACCTCCTCTGCTTTTTACAGCCAGAAATTATGGGGCTTTATCTTCCTGGTGTTGGAACCCTGGGCTGTGTGGTCTGGCCTGGGGCTGGGATCCTTTGCTTTTGAGGTATCCCTTTCTATTTTTATCCACCACATGTGAATGAAGGACTTCCTGTTTTCCCTGTGGCCTGGTGTTATTTGTTTTGAGGTATAGTTGTAATTTTTTCTGTAGTTGTGTGAGGAGGTGAAGCGTGTTTGCCTATACCTCCATCTTGACCACAAGCCTAGTTACTTTTCTTACAGCTACAGTTTAACTGATGTAAAATTAGTACAAACTAAAAACTAATCTTGTCCTCTCAGAAACACTTTTTGTTTTCCTCTCTTCTCTTTATAATTTTCATGTATATTATATTTACATGCATTGAAAACCACAACAGATATTTGATACCCATTTCAATAGTAATATGTATTTTCAAGAATAGGGTCTTTTACATTTACCACATATTTACCACTTTTATTACTCTTTTTCATCTTAGATTTATTTATATAATAATATTTCCTTTTAGCCTGAAGAATGTCAGTTCTTTAAGAGTAAGTGTGCTAGTCACCAATTCTCCCAATTGTCCTTCAAGAATGTTTTTATTTTGCCTCATTCCTGAATGATATTCTCTCAATATAGAATTCTTAGTCGATAGTTTCTTTCTTTAAAGATGGTATTTTGTCATCTGGTGGTTTCTGATTAGAAATCCATGGGTATTTAAATATTCAGCTTCTTTCAAGGTTTCTCTTTTAATTTTTGGTTTTCATCAGTTTGACTATGAGGTTTCTTTTTTATCTTCAGTGATATATTTTTGACATATATGCATATTTAAGGTATATAATGTGATAAGTACACATATATATTATAAAATGATACCACAATAAGGTTAAACACCTCCATCCTCTCACATCATTACCTTATTGTTGTTGTGATAACATGTAAGATGTATTCTCTTAATGACTTTCAAATATTTAAGTAGTATTGATAATTATAGTCATAATGCTTTATGTTATTTTCCAAGAACTCATTTATCTTATGGCTAGAAGTTTGTACCCTTCGCACAAAATTTCCCCTCACATCCCACCCCCTGACAACCACCATTTTACTCTCCTCTCTATGAGTTTTGGTTTTATGGATACCACATATAAATGAGAACATATAGTATTTGTCTTTCTCTGTCTGACAATTTTGCTTCTTCCTTTCCAATTTGGGTGTCTTCTATATCTTTTTCTTGCCTAATTGTTCTACATGGGACTTTTTTTTTAATTGGGGGAGGGGGATACTGATTAGACAGGAGGATATACTGCCATTAGTTGGGTCTTGTCTATTATCCATTCAATCACTCTATATCATTTGTATGGAGAATTTATTTCCATTCAAAGTAATTATTTATAGGTGAGGACTTACTAATGCCATCTTATTAGTCATTTTCTGTCAGTTTTGTGGTTCCCTTCTTCCTTTCTTTCTCCCTTTTTGTCTTCCTTTGTGATATTATTTTTAATAGCGGTATAATTTCTTTGTCTTTTGTTTACTACAGGTATTTAGTTTTTGGTTATCATGAAGCTTATGGAAAACATCTTATTATTTTAGGTCGATAGTTTAACTTCAATTGCACAGAAAACTACCCTTTGCACTAATAAATTACTGTGCTCTTAGTTATTTCTAATGCTTTTGCCTTTTGAGTTTCATACCAGAGTTAAGTGATTTACACATCACCATTACAATATTATTCTAAATTTAACTGTGTACTTCCCTTTCCAGTGAGTTTTATACTTTTATATCTCTTATGTACTGAAAGCATTCTTGCATTTCAGATTGAAGAACTTCCTTTAGCCTTTAATGTCCAATAATTCATGTAGGCTCTCTTAACTCTTTTCATTTCTTTTTCTACTCTGATTAGATAATTTTAAATGACTTATCTTTGAGCTGACAGATTCTGCTTGATCAAATCTGCTGTTAATACTCTTTATTGTATTATTCACTTCATTCATTGTGTGGTTTGGCTCCAGAATTTTTGTTTAGTTCTTTTTTTAAAATAATTTCTGTCTCTCTGTTAAATTTCTCATTTTGTTCATAAATTTTTATTTTCTCTGACTTGCTTAAGTTGTCTATCTGTGTTCTCTTGTAGCTTGCTGAGCTTCTTTAAAATGATTACCTTGAATTCCTTGGCAATTTGTAGCTCTCCACTTCTTTGGGGGTGACCGTTGGGAAATTATGATGTTCCTTTGTAGATGTCATGTTTCCTTTTGTTATTCTTGTAGCCTTGTGATTTGTCTGTGCATTTGTTGGAGCAGTTACCTCTTCCAGAGTTTACAGGCTGGTTCTGGTGGGAAAAGGCCTTCACCTGTGGCTGGGTAAGCTGTTTCAATTCTAGCTCTGGGGTATGCCATATAAATGACATAATCTCCATGTAGCTCTGTCAGCTTAGGTCAGTATTGGTAAAGATGGCATGTGTCTTCACAGGCAAAGCTTATGGGCATCTGCCACTGCCATGAGTGCTGCTGAGAACTCCTCATCTCTTTTTCTCCTGTGAGGGATGTCATGTCCAAGGGTATCTCGGTTGGTGCTAGGTTTGGCTTGTAGGTGCCCTCATGGTGGTGGTGGCACTGTTGTCTGATGCTTGGGTACCCATGGAACAATGACAGACCTGAGATCTGGAGCATGTGTACTTATGGAGCAAGAGCAGCTCCAGGGTCTAGGGCAATGACTTGCCATCAGTAATTCTGTGCCTTAGGTGTGTGCACACATGGAACAGCCACAGAGCTGGGGACTGGAACACATGCACTTACAGAGGACAGTGGCTCTGTGGTCCAGGACAATGAATAGCGTACAGTAGTGGTGTGGTGGTAGCTGCAGCATCTGAGATGCAGGTGCATGTAGAGTCGCTGCAGATTTGGGTCTAGAGCACAGGCACACACAGTGAAGTCACTGTTGGGGTCTGAAACAAAGATGGGTGTGAAGCAGCCAGGGCTCTAGGGTTAAGGGCATGTGTGGAGTTTGGAATGGGGGCTGACAGCCTTGGTCCCAGGGCAGTACAGTTGCAGTTCCTTATGAGGGAGGTACCAGAGCATCTCTCTCCCTCAGGGTCCATGATGGTGATGGCCTCTGGTTACTCCAATCATAAAAGCTGCTGGTGTCCTCTGTGGAGCAGGCTTCTGGGGTCTGTGCCAAAGAACACAACAGGGTCCTCTGCTGTGAAAAGTGCTGGGAGCCTGTTGCGATTCTCAGCAGCAGGGTTTGCTGGGGTCCTCCACAGAGCAGGGCACTGAACTCCATGATGGTATCTGCTGTGTGGCTGATACTGATAGCCCTGGCCCTTCCTCTTTGTTCCTAGCTGTCTTTAGATGTCTTGGCCATGCTAATCTCACCATTGATACTTTCTGTGTGGTTATTCTGGTGTTTTGCTCCACTGCATGGCTGTAGGTTCTTAATTGAACTCTTGAGCACTCCCAGGGCTATTTTCATCTGTGGATAGCTGTCTAATTGTTATCTTTTTGTTGGGGGGTGGGCAAAGGCCAATATTTTCTACTCTTGCATTTGCTGTTGTCACTCTCCTTTCTTAGTGTAGGTTTTTAAAGCTATAAATTTCCCTCAGTGCTATTTTATTGCATCCCATGAGGTTTGGTATATTGTCTTCATTTGCATTCATCTGAAAGTATTGAAAGTATTTTTTATATTTTCTTTTGATTTATTCCTTGATCATTAGCTATTTATGATTATGTTGTTTAATGTCTACATATTTGTGAGTTTCCCAAATACTCTTCTGTTATTTATTTCTAATTTCATTACACTGTAGTTAAAAACATACTTTGTGTTGTTTATCTGCTTTAAAACTTACTCACCTTTGGTTTATGGACAGCATATGGTCTATCCTGGATAATGTTTCATATGCGCTTAGAAGAATGTATATTATGTTGTTGATACAGTTACCTGTAGGAATCTGCTAGGTGTGCTCACGTTTTCTACTCCCTTGTTGATCTTCTGACTAGTTGTTCCATCTGCTACTGACAGGGGATTCTTGAAGTTCCAACTGTTATTATTGATTCTCTTCCTCCTTTCCTTTCTGTCAGTTTTGGTTTATGTACTTTGGATGCTCTTTCATTAGGTCCACATGTATTTATAACTTGTTATATTTCCTCAATGGATTATAGAATCTAAGTTTATAGCTCTTGTAGTCAACATAGTTTTCCCTATATTATGGACTTTAGGCCAGCTTTTTGTTTTTTACTGATTGTGTGTGTGTACAGATAATTAAGTGGGGATTCGAGAGAGGCTCTTTCAGGTACTATAGCCAAACAACTGGTACTTGAAGTTGGAGGTGTCATTTTTAGTTTTCAAAATGGTAAAATCTACAGCTAATTACATCATATTATTTTTATTTGAAATGCAGGAGAGGAATAGAAACAAAACTCTAAGGATGTTGAGCAAAATATATTCTTTCATTTTATCAACCACATGAAGATCTAATTAAGTAACAGCTCTTATTTTAGGAAGCACAGGAAATTTTGCTTCTTCTATTTTTCAGACTGTTCAGGATCATTAAATAACAGCCTTAATAGAATCTCTGAAGCTCCTAAGAGCATCGTTCAATATTTGTCAAAATGATGACACTTTTCAAAGGGCTGGAATCATAATTATTAAAACATTCCTAATAGGGACAACGGTAACGGATCCGTTCTGGGAAACTATTCGTGATCAGATCTTGGGGAAGCCATCTGACGAAATCAAAGAGTGTCACAAGCCAAAGCCAGTCCTTGTTCACACTGGAGAGGTAAACCATTTTTGTCATCATGAAATTAGTATGCTGCTTTTATAAATTTATGAATTGTTGGATGTGAATGGTAGATCTCTATTGGCATGGGAGGTCTTATTCAGATATTCCTACATCAAAATATTTAATATCAAAAGTATAGATGCTATGAGTCTAAAAATAACTGCTATGATTATTAAATATTTTAACTTGGAATTTTTGTGAGTGTGCTTCCTTTTTTAAATCTTTTTTAAAATTTTTAACATTTTTTATTCTATTAACTTTGAATTTTTGATAAATAACTAAAACAGTTGGAACACTGAAAAAGGAAGAATAAAAATAACGTTTGTTTTATTTAAAATTCATTTATGTTATCTCCAGGACAGAAATTCACACAGAATTCTCTGCAGAGAAAAACATCTCAGTGTATATAAAAAGGGATGTGTTCATATCTCTACTTTCTCACAGATCAAACAATGTTATTAACTAAAGCAATATTCTTTCAGTACTCCTTTGGAACATGGATTTTCATGTCCCAAGTATCAAAATGTGATGCCAGTGTTGATGATATGAACTGCTGATGTAGAAAATAATTTTTAAAGAGGGTTTTTTTTCTCCTCTAATATTCAATGAAAAATTCTTCAGTAAGAAGAAAGAGAGGAAAGGAAAGGAATAGAGAGGGAGATTCTACACTAATTTGAAAATGGAAAGGGATAGATTCTCTTGGAGAAAACTTGGAAGGTAAGGCGAGACTAGGTAGGTAACTAACAACTTAAAGTGCTATTAGAGTAGAAAGAGAAATTAGCAAGTTGAGCTATTTCAAACAATGGAATGAGTCGTTCTGTGTGAGGACAGTCACTGCGGTACTCCGGGAGAATCCTTGGTCACGTCACACATTGTGGTTTCACAACGACAAATCCACCAGAACTTCACCGATGAGAAAATGAGTCCAGGTTAATGGGGCATTGACATTCAACATTCACATGTTCTGATTAGATAGAATATTGAGTGTTACATCATGAATTAGAAACAGAATCTGTGATAGTAGGATAAGACACCAAAAAAAGCTGGAAACATTTTTATCTTTACTAAAGAAACTTCTGTGATCATCATAGATCTCTTGACCACAGCAATCATAATATTCCTAACACAGTGTTCATGTTTTGGGTTCTTAGCTGTCAAAACCTCACCCCTGGCACCCAGATATTGTTGATGTTCAGATTATTACTCTTGGGTCCTTGGCCATAACTGCCATCCCTGGGGAGTTTACGTAAGTTCTTATTTTTTATTTTGCAGTTAAAAATGTAATTATTGGGTGTGTATTTCTGTTGGAATCCCTTATCATGGGCAGATGATTCTGTACTGACTCCTTTGTAGTTCACTGTACTGTATTTGCCAACATTAACAAATATTCCCACCCTCTTTGTGGGACCCCTGAAGAATATACCTTTCTATGCTTGTTACTAGTGTGTAACTTGAAGCAAACATAAAAACTTGAAAGCTTATCATTTCTAATTAAAATGATGTGGTGAATTATGATATCAGTAGAAAGACTTAAAATAATATTAAGTACAGATTCTGAAAACAATCAGTTTAGGTTTTAGAAGCATGAAAGAATGTTTTAAATCAAATGTTTAAAGACTTTAGGCAGTCTTTCCTATCTTAGCAAAAAGCAATTTCATAGCTTTTCTGTTGCTCAGGCCCTAATTCTTGGAGTTATTCCTGAATTCTCTCCTTTTCAATTTCTACCACTTTCTATCCTTCAGCAAATCCTGTGTGTTCTACCTAATACTTTCTGTTACTTCCCCAATGCCCCACACCCCTCTGGTCTAAACCTGCATTATTTCTCCCTATCTCACCTTCTTGCTTCCTCCCTTACCTCTCTATGGTGTTTTATCAATACCATAGCTGGAGGAATCCCTTTAAAACACAGGTTAAGCTGGGTCCTGCTCAAAACCCTCTACTGGCTTCCCATCTCACTCCAGTAAATCCTGAAACACTTATAGCATCCTACTGGGCCCTCTGGTCTGATTTCATATGACTCTCCCTCTCCTTTTCCTTCCTTTAGCCACTTGGGCTTCACTGCAGTCCCCAGACTCACCAAACATGCTCCTGTCTTAGCACTTTTCAACCAAATGGTTCCTTCTGCCTGAAACACTTAGTCTCCAGTAATCCCTTGGCCAACTCTTTTATTCCTTCAGTTCTCCGCTCAGATCTCTAATGGAGATGCCAGTTCTGCTTATACTATGTGACATTGTCTTCACACAGCGCCGCTTCCACCACTACCCCGGCTTCCACCACCACCACGTCACTACAGCATCAGTGTCAGCGCCACCACCACCACCACCATACCACAGCGACCACCACCATTCTCTTCATCCTTTACCCTACCTTATGTTCCTCATAGGACTTATTGTCATCTCACTGTTTCATTTGCTTATTGGCCGTCTTCCCTCTCTAGAATGTTAGCTCCATACTGCTGAAGTGGGCCTGGTATGCAGTAGGTGCTCAGAGTTTTATGAAGGATTAAATTAATGAATGTAAGTTCTTTGAAGGCAGGGAGAGTACACTCTCTACTTGCCTTAGCTCTTATTGACATAGAATGTAACATATATTTTGTTGAATCAATGAATGGAAAATGATCATGATCCTTTGCCAGTGATACTCATTGATTCCTTTTCCCTCCTTCAAGTTATCTGTTTTCATTTTAGAATTTGTTTTGAACATATGACAGTCAGGAAAAAAAGCTCAACTTTAGCTTGCTTTGCCTTTGAGTTCCTACACACTGTACAATTGTGTGATAAGTACACAGTTGTGTGGGTAACTTTTAGGCTTCTACTACAAGCCGCTCTGTGTACTTTGCATTCATTTGAAATAAGAAAACACTTAAATAATTCTGTTCCTTTTACTCAGGACCATGTCTGGGCGAAGATTTCGAGAGGCAATTAAAGCAGTAAGTTAAAAATCAAATAACATCTATGCATTTATATTTGGTGAAGAGAAAAGAATTTCCTGTCCATATGATGTTACCTTTTAAATTAATCTGTACTAGAATGACTAGAGTTTTATACTTCTTGAAAGCAATGGCTAGAGGTAAATGTGAAATATTGATGGTATAAGAACAAATTCAAAAATATAAAGAAGGGAACTATAGTCAGGTTAAACATATTTTATTGGTATTTTTATATTGATAATTAAAAAATTAATAATGGTTTTATGAATTAAGTAGTAAATAATCCCTACGTACCCTAATATATTATGGGTTTATATAAATAAAATCTAACACATGCTGAGGATTATGCATTTTATCTATAATTATGATTTTCTTTATATTCTGGAAGTATTATAAATGGTTCTAAAATGACATAATCAACACATATCTTATTACCTTGGACTTGGAAATAACCATTGTCTTCAGTTAGTAACCTCCCATTATGCTTTTTAGGAAATTGATAAAATATCTTTATTTTAGTAAAGGAAGATTCTACATCTGTCAATGTAATCATTAAGATGTTCACAGAGCCATTGACTTGTCCAGCTGTAGTGCAGAGTTACGGCTGTCCCTTTTATCCAGGGCCCTGGATCGGTCTGCATTCCCAGGCCATTGTGATCATTAGGGAGACTATTGTTAAGTGAGACATCTTACACTAACAATTCATATTGTGATTGTATGTTAAGTATAACTGGGATGATAATACACTTTAAGATGAAGAGTAATTTTACTGGGCTCTGCCTCTCCCTCTCTCAGGAGTTTGCAACTTATGGGATGCAGAATATGACTGTGGTTATTTCGGGTCTAAGCAACGTATACACACATTACATTACCACCTATGAAGAATACCAGGTAAAGTACAACTTTTTTTATCATTTAGGTGAAATATACCCTGGCTGAGACTATTGTATCAAATGCAAGTTTTCTTTCTAGCCTTAATCACATTTTTGAGAGATAATTTTGTGTTAGAACGAATAAGAGAAGGATAAACCAGAGGTTGTATTTGTAGTTCCAGGTTTACCATTTTCAAGTTCAGATTAGAAATCTAGTCTCACCGACTTTCACTTTTCCTGAAATAATTTTTTTTGTCAGGAGCACTAGGTTGTGGCATACAGTATTCCTAACTCTATCCAGGATGTTTCTGCAGAACCTGGGAAAACTCCCACTGAGAGCTGCTACTTATTGAATGCACTAGCTAAACACCTTGCAAATGTGATCTTAACTAATCCTCACAATAAACCCTGGAGCAGGGTATTATTATATTCATGGTATAGATTAAGAAACAGAGTCTCACAGATTTAGTGGAGGCTGCTGGCTAGTAGTGTTTCTTTGTTTACAAATAGCACAGAGAGTAGACCAACTACTTTTTAACAATAGTAGTTAACATGGGAGAGTTTAGAGTCACACAATTAATGCTTTCTAATGCGTCTGCATCTATACCCAGGCATGTAATCTAGCCCGTGGTAAATGTCCAGTGATCCCAGCAGTGGAACCTGCTCTGTGCCCTCTGTTGACTTTGTCACAGGTCTCTCTGCTTTCTAGGATTCTGTTGAATTGAGGTAGACTTGGATGGGAATAATTTTTCATTTATTCATTTTTAATTTATCTGTAACTATTTATTATTTATCATTTCCTCCAGTTATGGATGTAGATAACAAATGACAATATTAGTAAATCTCTGACTTCATCACCAATAGGAACCACAGATATTTTTCATATCATGCAGAATTATTTAAGATCTGAAAATATCTTTTACTCTCATCACTATTTTAAAATCAAGTAGTTATTAAACCTGCCACTAGATCTTGTTATTCGGTAAAGAAGTACAAATAGTACTCTGTCATAAAATTGGTTTATTGTTGTTTGATTCATGTATTTTAATTTGATCAGCTTTCTTTGTCAATGCATGCATTATATTTTAGGTATTTAGAAATATTAATCTGAGAGGGGTTCATAGGCCTCAACAGATAACCAGAGATGTTCATGGCCCAAATAAGTTTAGGAACCTCTACATCCTTATCTCCTGGTGCAGGGACATGCTCCTGCAAGTATTAATATTAGTTAATTTATTCATTCACTCATTCCACAGATATGTGTTGGGGATGTACAGTACTAGCCAATATCTGGGCATAACAGTGAATAAGAACCTGCCTCCCCGTTCACTGGAACGTATGCTCTTGTGAAAGGGATGCACAAGGTGGTATGAAGAAAAGAAAAAGAGCACCAGTGTAAACTAAGTGTTTGAGCGTGGGGACTGGCAGATTCTTTGGAGGATGTAACATCTGTCTGAGTTCTTAAGATTGAGTAAGGGCTAATTAGGCAAATACATGTTTGGGAAGGTGTTTCATACTGAGGGAGCTACATACACCAAGGTCCAGAGGGGCAGACTTAGTACAAGTAAGAGTGCATAATTAGTTGAGTTGCCCGGAATAAGCACAATGAAGGTAGTGAGATGGACTAGAGTGAAAGGCAGGGGTTAGTCGGAGATTTTTACGCTGTGCTACAGAGCTTTGACTCAATAAAGGTTTTGGGAAACCCGCAGAATTCAAAGAAAGGAATTCTCTGATTAAATCTGTGATTTAGAAAGCTCACTAGGATGGCAGTACAGAAAATGAATTAGAAGGGCAAGCGTGGAGACGGAACTGATTAAGAAGATGTAGTTATGACTGTGGTGAGAGGTAAGGGTGTGATAAAGGTAAAAGCAGCAGAGACAGAGCAAAATGAAAGGATTCAAGAGATTTTAAGGAATGTTGACTTGCAGACTCATAGGACACAGGATGAGGGGGCAAGAGGAACCTGATGACTGCCAGCTGACCCTGGTATGGGAGACTGGAAGGATGGCATTCACTGAGATAAAGAATGTTGCAGGGAAAGCTGGTGTATTTGGAGTGATGAGTTCCATATTAGATTTGTTGAATTTCAGGTTCCTGTGAAATAGCTGAAGGTTTGGAGCTTGGGTAAACAGAAATGTGTTGGGTTCTATTTTATAGCTATCTGATGGGTGAAATGTTTTTTTCCTCTAGATTGTACTCTTAGCATCCAATTTATTCAGGAGTTACTAAGAATCATTTTACTTCATTTTTTTTCTTCTGGTGTATCCTTGGGGGAAGTGTTTACATTACAAGTACTTAAAATAGACATAAACTCAGGAGCTAGTAGATTAAATGGACTGCTTTCAGATTAAATGGGCTGACAATCCAAATGGCATCAGTTAGGAGAACCCCCTGCCTTTAATAAGTAGTTGATGGGAACCATGCACTTTAGCTGGGAACTGAAAACACCCCTTCTCTTTGTCATAATTAATCTTATGCCAGTTTGAACTACGTGAGATATCCAAGCACTACTCCTAAGGTGGGACACCTCTGTAAATGCATTGAGATATGCAGACTGGTATACAACATGACCTTGTCTTTCCTGCAGGTTCAGCGGTATGAGGCGGCATCCACAATTTATGGACCACACACTCTGTCTGCTTACATCCAGCTCTTCAGAGTCCTTGCTAAGGCCATTGCTACGGTAATCAAAAACTGTATGCATTGTGTCTCAGGGGTGGGGGATACAGAGGGGAGCAAAAAAGAACCTTAGCTGTGAGTATACAGTTTTTTAAAAAACCTTTATATTTAAAAAAATGATATATATATGGCTATGAGGCATTCCTAAGAAATGAAACAGTAATTTTAGATTCAGTAAATGCCTTTTGGTTGTGATAGCTTTTTTCATATGCATTATATTATCCTCACAATCATTATGTGAAGTATGGAACACATCACTTTTTCCCTATTTTTCAGATGAGCAAATAGGCTCAGAGATGACAAGTGATCAGGCTTATTGTAATTAGAACCAGGAGGTGAACCAGAACTCTCTAATTCTGGTTAGCTTCTCTCCAGTCACTTCAAGAGCTGAGTAGGTCATCTATTCTGAAATGCCCATTTTTCCTGTTATTACATCTCTGAAATGGGGATGCATCTTCCAATCAGAGGAGTCTTACAATTATAACTGGTGGCATGATTTTACTTTCTTGGTGGTTCAAAAATAATAAAAGTTGTTATAGTTCAATATAGTTCAATAGAATCTTAGATTTGATGAAGTTCAACAGTACCTGGGAATGCACATCCATATTATATCTACCTAAGATACTCACACTTAAGCAACTTGACCTAAAGGAACTCCACTTGTGGAAATCTTTCCTTTGAAAACAGTTATTTATGAGGCTGTACTCTGTTGTCAGATTATTAGTCAACAAGCAGGATAAAGAGTTAAAATAATAAAAAGACCATTGTGTAATACCATGCAAGCCCCAACAAGGCTATGAAACAGTTACGACATAGCAAAGATAATAAATGCCTTTCAAAGGAAGAGCTTGGAGATGTTAAACAGAAACAAAGGACATTACTGTTTCTATAGGTCAAACAGTTGAAGATTGGCAATGTCATGTGCCTCTACCTAATTAGGTGCTTATTGTGTGTTTGAAGTTTCAGTACAAGGTATTAGGATATAGTTTAATTGTTTCATCATAATGTTCTTAATTTTAGGTTTGATACTTTTTTCAAAGAACTATTTTATTTTTCCTCATAGAAGCTGTAACTACTTGTAGAATATTCAAATTATACAGAGAAAGTATAAACTTGTGGCCCATCCCTAGAGAGGACCACTGTTTAACATTATTTGTAGGCATAGGTCTATAGCTCTTCCCACAGAAATAGATTTCTCAATAGATTTTTGTTGTTGTTTTTTTTAATTTTATTTATTTATTTTTTAGAGAGGGAAGGGAGAGAGAGAGACAGACAGAGAGAAATATCAATGTACGGTTGCTGGGGGCCATGGCCTGCAATCTAGGCATGTGCCCTGACTTGGAATCGAACCTGCGATGATTGGTTCGCAGCCTGCACTCAATCCACTGAGCTATGCCAGCCAGGGCAGATTTCTCAAGTTTTATAGTGATATTTAAGAATGAAAGTATGAGTCATTTTGTGGAAATTCATTTCACAGAATTTCATGGTTATGTATCTAAGACTAGCTACATGATCTTAAAAAAACTACTGAGTATCTCCGAGCCTATATTCTCATTTGTAAAATGGAAATGATAACAGGTTACATCCTATTGTAAAGATTAACTATATAAAGTAATTATGAAAGTACATTAAATACCTATAAAGGGCTATTTAAATTTGAGGTTTTTGCATTAAATTTAGCATTTTCATGACATTATGGAAGGTGGCAAATTTTGTGGAAAACACAAATTATAACAGGATATAGACAGACCTTAACCTTTAAATTAAAAATATATTTATTATATTATTTAATAAGCACAGAGGAGAATTTAGGAAAAAACCTTGGTATTGATTCTAGATAAAAGAGGCTCAACACTTTTTTAACAATTAGAAGAATGATTATGGTGTCATATTACAAAGGCTTATCATGTGCTGGGCTCCTTTTCAGAGTCACACAGGTAGAAATTGGTTGGCTTAGAATCTGAAGCTGTGTAGCTTGCTTCCACGCTTACACTCTAATCACTGAACTATACTGCTTGGGGGAGTGAAAGTGTTGCTATGACCAAAACTTTCTTCTAGTGACAAAAGTTTAAGTTATGCACACCCAGGCTCACATTTTAGCAAACCTCCCCTTGCATTTTGTCAAAGTGGTTAGGTCTTGGAGGCAGAGAGGGAGGGAGGGATGGATTCCTTTAATGAAGGTTTTTCTGGGGATGGGGATCTTGGGAAAGTGTCTTTGCCTCTATGATGTGCCCTCCTTAAGTGAATGTTCTCTGTTCTAGGACACAGTAGCCAATCTGAGCAGAGGTCCAGAGCCTCCATTTTTCAAACAACTGATAATTCCATTAATTCCTAATATTGCGGACAAAGCACCAATAAGCAAGAATTTTGGAGATGTCCTGCAGCCATTGAATCCTAAGTACAGAGTGGTAAGATTCACAAAGAGATCTTGGAATGTTTCAGAGAAGCCTGTGTTTGTGGATGAACAGGCAGGCAGGGGTGGGGTGGGGGGGTTGGGAATGGGGGCGGGAGGGGAGAGATGTTGTCAATGGCAGCATCTGCCTCTAATGATGCCACAGATCATCAGTTGTTAGCAACAATAATTTTGGTAATCATTCTTATCTCTGCAGAGGCTCTGCAAATGTGATAATGGGGAAATAATTATTTTCCAGGTGGTAATGATGTAAAACTGAATGTCTAAAATCCAAATTATTCCTTTTCTTCTTAAATGGATGGTCATGGAATCATTCATTAGAACTCAGAAAAGTTGTCTTTTAAATCAAGGACAGGAAAGGCACATAGAAATGAATCAGGATTTGTACCACTATTATTTTATATTAACTATCCTCTGACTTACATATAATGTCCTTCAAGTGTGCTAAATTATGTATTAGCTTTAATAGGTTTTTTTGGGGGGGAGTTGGAGTCCTTAAACATTTCTACATATAATATGATGTTATCTGTGAATAAGAACAGGTCTAGTGATTGCTTTTTGGATTCCTTTTTTTGGATACCTTTAGTTTTTCCTCTCTTATTGCACTGGCTAGAATTTTCAAAAACAATGTTGAATAGAAGCTGTAACACTGGCCATCCTTGTCTTGTTTCTAATCCTTGGAGGAAAAGTGTTCAGTCATTAAGTGTGACTTTTGTTCTTTAGGATTCTTTCTATTTCCTTCTCTTGCTGATTTGTTGAGAGTTTTTGCGAGGAGTGGGTATTGGATTTTTTTCAGATGCTTTTCTCTAACTACTGAGATGATCATGAGGTTTTTGTTTTCCATTCCATTAATATGGTATATTGCATTAGTTGACTTTCAGATATTAAATAAATATTCATTAGGAATGGTATATAATCATTTTTATGTGTTGTTGAATTTGGTTTGGTAATATTTTGCTAAAAACTTTTGTGCTCATCCCCATGAGGGATATTTGCCGCCTCTTTTCATATGTTGTCTTTGTTGGGGTCACTCTGGTCTCAAGGAATCAATGAGAAAGTGTTCCTTCTGATTTTCTGCACATGTGTGCAGAAGATTGGTATCATTTCTTCTTTAGATATCTGATGAGATTTATCACCAAAGCCATATGAACCTGGGCTTCCCTTTATAACAAAATTTTAAATTACTAATTCATTTCCTTTAGTTGGTTTAGGCCTCTTCAGATTTTCTGTTGTGTTTAGATATCTGTATTTTTCTAAGAATTTGGGTGCAGAGGCCAGATATATATATATATAGTATCTTATTTTCTTAGATCTATAATATGCATCTTAACTAATTACAACCAACTTCAATATAATAACTTAATTCCAAAAACATAAAAAGATTTGTCTAGTATATCTCTTTTCCCTTCTCCATCCTTGTGATATTATCACATGTATTATGATGTGGACCCTGGCTTGTGGGGTCCACATCATTATGGATGAAATGAGACATTCACATGGATTACCGAATCTAGTGGAGGAAAAGGGACAGCATGGCTTTTCTCTCAAGGGGAGCAAAAGCCTTAGCCCTCACTCCAATGAGCTTTTATTGTCTTACTGGGCACATTACAAGAAGGTCCTCATTAACTATGCACAGGCTGGCTTTAGGTGGTTACCTTATACAGAAAACAAAGGAGAGGATGCTGGTAATCACATCACAGAAGAGGGATATTTGCAAATGAAAAGGCAAAAGTAGTTGAACTGGTTACACTCATCCTTGGAAGGTTTAGCATGGTTTTTAGGAAGTTGCTTTGCAGTAAATGTCCTCGATTCAGGGTGAGGGAGTTTTAGCAAAAAGCAAGACTCATAGCAGCCTAGGTACATTGCAGGCCTGATTCCCCATGGGAAAACCTATCCGTGGGCGTGGGCCCTGTGCATCTCCCAGTGGGAGCTGGGCCCACGCCATGCAGAGCAGCCTCCCACAGTATTATATTTATATAAAAATGAAATAATACAATGTTTTAATTTTTGTTTTATACAATTTATGCCTTTTAGAGGTTAAGAGAATATATGAAAAATTACCTCCATATAATACTGATTTACCCACATATTGACCAGTTCTAGTGCTCTTTATTTCTTTCAAGAATTTGAATTAGCCCTGGCTGGTGTGTGTCAGTGGATTGAGTGCCAGCCTGTGAACCAAAGGATCACTTGTTCGATTCCCAGTGAAGGCATATGCCTGTGTTGCAGCCAGGTCCCCACAAGGGGGCACACCAGAGGCAATCACACATTGATGTTTCTCTTCCTCTCTTTCTCCTTCCTTTCTCCTCTCTCTAAAAATAAATAAAATCTTTTAAAAAAAGAATTTGAATTAATATGTAGCATCATTACCTTTCAGCCTGGAGGACTTCCTTTAGTATTATTTTTTATGACAGTTTGCTAACAAGAAATTCTTTCAACTTTTGTTTATCTGGAATGTCTTTATTTTTTTCTTTATGTTTGACAAATAGTTAGATTGCCTTCTTGGTTGATAATTTTTTTTTCTTTTATCACTTTGAATATGTTATCCTATTGTTTTCTGTCCATCACTCTCTAATGAGAGACCAATTGTTAATTTTACAGTATTCCTCCCTGTAGGTAATGAATCATTTTTCTCTTGCTGCTTTCAAGATATTTTTTTCCTTCTGCCACAAGTTTGCTGCAATGTATCTAAATGTGAAATACTTTGTGTGTATCCTACTTGGGATTTGTACAGTTCCTTGGATCTGTAAGGTAATGTTTGTCAAATTTGTGAAGTTTTCGGCCATTATGTCTTCAAAAATTTTTTGTCCTTTTATCTCTTTTCTGTATTTCCCGGGCTTCTGTTTCATGAATTTTGGTTTTGTTGATATTGTTCCATATGTTTCTGAGGCTCTGTTAATTTTTCTCTAATCTTATCTTCTATCTAGTCTTCAGATAGGACACTTTGTAGTGATGCATTCTAGTTCACCTGTCCTTTCCTCTGTCATCTCACATTTGATATTAAGCCCATGTAGTGATTTTTCATTTTGTTGTTTTGATTTGCAACTCCAAAATTTCCAATTGTTTTTTTTATTACTTCTCTTCATTGAGGTTCTTTATTTGTTAAGTCATTATCATCCCACTTTCCTTTAATTCTCTAAACATGATTTATATTAGTTCTTAGAACACTTTATAACAGCTGTTGTAAAGGCTTTGACTGCTAACACAAGATCTGGGTCACAGAGAGGCAGTTTTAGTTTCTGCTTTTTTTCTCTTAGTGTGGCCACTAATTTCTTGTGTGTACATATCATAACATTTTGTTGAATACTGGATATTTTTTGATACATTGTGGCAATTCTAGCTTTACCTCTCAATTACAGAATTACCGCTTTTTTTGCTTGCTCATTTAAAACTTGACTAAATTAGTAAAGTCTATCTCTCTTGCAATGTGTGACTGTTATTATCTGCTCAGTTCTTTTTTTAATTTTTTGTTGTACTTTTAAGTTTGGCTCTCATGGAGTTGACCCTGTGATTACATCACTTAATGTTCAGCCAGATGTTGGTTAGAGTTTGTGCTTAGACACCTCGGGGAGTAAGAATTTCAATCTCTGCTGATAGATTTACATCGGCTGGTGTGTATATTTAAACTTCAGACTATTTTCCAGTTTTCCACAGCTTTTAATTTCCACTGGGTTCTCTTATGTTTCCTCTGTTATCTCTACAAAAGGCCCCATTGGCCAGGGATGTGTGGGTGGTTTTGGGCCTAGTCTGGTCTTTTGTGTGAATGCTTATAGCCTCCCATTAATCCAGGATAGGAGGAAAGCTTATCAAGAACACTGTGGTTATTTTACCTCCCCCAGACACTCTTAAATCCCTGACTAGTCCACCAGTCTGGCCATTAACCCTCAGCGTTTGTTCCAAATCAAGTGAGTGCCTTCCAGCTGCAGAGGAAAGCTGCTGATTTCATGGCCTTCCCCACTATGGTTGAATTATAGTGCCAGGAGGATGGGGGCAACCCTGTTAAGAACACCAAAGACTTGTGCTCTTTTTCCCTTAAGTTTAGTAGTATTAAGGAATAAGCATTTTTCAGTTTTTGGTTGATACCAGAAGTGTCAAGATGGTTATTTTTGATGGTTCTGTCCACATATGTGGTTGCTTTTTGGGGGAGAGGACATACTGACCTCCATTCTGTCATGGCAGAAGTGCCTATACCCCTTCCTTTTTTTAATTGCTGTTCAAGTACAGTTGTCTCCATTTTCCCACCACCACTTCCCCCTGCCCCCCCATCTCCCACCCTCCATTCTTCCCCCCTGTAGCTTTGCCCATGGGTCCTTTATACATGTTTCTTAAAGACCCTTTCCTTTCTTTCCCTCATTATCTCTCTTCCTTTTGAATTGGCATTTTGGATTTGTAGTGGGGTTGTTTTTCATAGTTAAGATGAATGAGTAAACAGGGAACTGTGAATGTAGAAAAATATCAAGGAGAAGAATACTTTTAGAATTAGGATAATCTGGCTAACCAGGTACCAGAAATAACATTTAGTTTTTAAATAAACCATAATACCGGCTGAAGGGCCAATTGCTCTTATAAATGATATATGGATTTTTTTCAGGAGATTCTAATTGATTGTTGTTGGCACATTTTGCTAACTGTTGATAAGGTTGGCTAATTTGGTAATCTCACTGGTGAGAATGAGTCAAAGGAGATAAAATGAATTGATGACAGTAATCCAGAGTTAACAGCAAAGTCTATGGTTGAGCAGCACATCACCTCTGTTCAGAGAGTCAACACTGATTCTGAATCTGTGGAAAGTTTTTATTTAAAAAGTGTTTTTAATGTGAGCTAGGTATTAGAGGGTGAGTAGGAGTACTCACCAGCTCTGGGATGTACAGATGGGAGAGGGCTTAAGGTAGAAGAGTGGGTGGAAACTTATCTGTAAAGAGTCTTGTGTACCATGGTAAGTGATGGGAGCCTATTTATTTGTTTGTTATTTTAAATATACCTTTATGGATGTATAAGGTAAGGTAAATACACACCCTGTCACTCCATCTTGTATCTTATATGTGTAAGTCATGGAAAGTTTTGACTGCTCTTATTTAATTTAGTCCACTTCCTACATGTGTGTGGGAGGGAAGTACAAGAAAATATCAAAGGCTGAAGAAGACACTTTAATGTGCTGTCATAAATGTAAACTGTAGCTCTGCATCTTCATTGATACCTGAGTCCACCAAGGGAAAATTCATTGGCAAAAATTCTGGAGCAATTTGCTGGCCAAAGATACCTGTATCCATTGTTGTGAGGGTATTATATCTAATATTCACAGAAGATAATCACTTGATCAAATAGAATAAAATATATACAGGTACCCCAAATCCTAGAATATTTCATAAATAATGGCCCAAAGCTATGCACAGCAGAAACACTTTTATTAGAACTCATAAAATAAATTTTTGTTTTCAGGGAGATGTTGCTGAAGTTACATTTGTAGGCGCTAACCCAAAGAACTCAGCAGAAAACCGGGTAAGAATCAATGATTCTTTTTACAAATTTAAATGCACCTTTTAGCTTTTCATTCACTTGAATATTGCTTTAGAGATTAACAACAGGAAGGCAAAATGTCCCAACATGCTTTACATCTTTTTTCTTCTAATTTTGTAGATGTGGGAAAATTTTCAGTGGGAACAGTTAATGTGGAATTGAGCCTGGTAAAAAGCACACAGGAAACCTTTAACTGTCTTTACTTAGGACCACATATAACACAATGTATGGGAAACTGCCTTGTCTGTTGAGATGTAAATTTGAGTAAAATCCCATTTATTGTATTCCAATTTAGAAATTCCACTAAATTTGGAAAAATAACCCAAGGGTGAAGAATGAAGTGTTCCTTTGCTTCCTCCTTACTTCCTCTTTGGCTCCTCTCCTCATGCTCCGCTGCCCGGCCCTGCCTGTACTCTGGCGGAGTGACCATGGAACCCTGCCTGGAGTGTGCTCCAGGCTGGGAGCCCGGACCCATGCGCTTTACTTTGTCTTGCACTCTGAGTTTCCCTGTTCTTTGCTACCGACCATACTAGATAGTTATTTATTAATCTTGAAAAATGACAGGTCTAATGTAAAAACAGATAATATAGGAGTGCTTAAGATAGAATGTGAAAGGCCCCTCTATTCATAAACCTTTTGAGAGGTAATCACTGTTAATATTTTGTTATGTATCATTTTATATTTTTTGTTTTATTATATATGTATGATAAAGTATACCTATAGATATATAGATATTCTATGTATATATCTGTATATATAATATCTATGAATGAAATGAAGTGATTTTACTCCTCTGAAGCTCCCTTAGAATGTTCTTATAAGTACATGAGCAGTAAACAGACACATTCTAGTTGTAAAAATTCAAAGAATTAAGAAATATAGAGGAAGAAGGGTATATGAAAGTGATTTCAAGGTCAGATTTGTTTTTACCGTGGTTGAGGATATGTTCACTCTGTTGATAAGCCATACTTTCTTGGGTCCATTGTCACACCCCAAAATAGCTCTCTTCTAAATGAACCTTTCCATTTGTGTTCATTAAAATATTATTATTGCTGTTGATAACAATTGCAGCAATAGGACATTGTCAAAAGGGCATTGGGGAAAAATGTTCTGATGCTTGGATAATTAACACCTGTTTGAAATAACTTCTCTAGGTGTTCAAGCCATGCCAGAATATTTACATGCTCATCACATTACTTTTCTGAGGATAGCCAAGTGTTGTAGTAAAACTGTAGGTTTAGCTGCTATTTGATTTCCTTAGGGTGAATAAATATTAATACTATCATCATTATTGCCACAAAGAAGCAGAAGAAAAAAATTCTTAAAGTGCTATAGTGAGAGTAAAATTAATTTCTAAGAAGCTTCTGGGCACAAAACAATTTCTCATACCCTTTATTAGTAATAATCATCATATCCTCACCACTATCGAATGCTCACTATTCACAGGTATTACTCTAAAGTGCTTTATATACATCACCACATGAGTTGAATATAATGTTTTCTACCATCCAGTGAGTTACATTTTATCATCCTAATTTTATTTAGGCCTGGAGAGGTTAAGTAACTTGCATTAACTAATTGCGTATCTGGAGGTGATTAAGGCTGGGAGGTGGGGGAAGGATAGTTGTATGATTCAGAGGTGCAGTGGCCTACATTTGGTCTCTGATCTGTACTCCAGACTCAGCAACAAGGGCCCACTCTGTTTTCTACCCCATCCAACACTCCCCAATGTTCCTCTGCCCTAAATGGCCAGAAGTAGTTCTTTTTAGAAGTCACTGTGGTTATGAAAATTTCTTTATTGAATATAATACATCAGTTAAATAACTAGAAAAATATTCGAAACAATCTTTTGTCATAGATGCAATTAAGTGATCCATTCACAAAAGTTTATTTGAATACCTGTAAATGGCAGGTATAATGGGCTGCGAAGGACAAAGGTGTGAATTAGACATAAACCATGTCCTTAAGGACCACAATATAAAGATTTTTGTGGAAAAAAAGGAGATTGGTAGCCTGCATATCTTTTGATTTGTTATATTATTCAAATCTGTGCTTTATTTGAAGCTGAATTCTTGGTCTGAAACAATTTATTATAGCAATTTTCCAATGGGAAAATAAAACTTGCTTATGATGAGCTTTCTAGAAATGCATGATGAAATATAGGAATTTCTTTTAGCACCCCAGGACAAAGAGGATTTATACATTCTTTTCCATTTTTTCACTGGGGGAGGTATATTTATGAATAATGCATATACCTGGAGATGGAAAGATGAGAAGGTTTTCCCATTTTCTCTCCTAAACTGTGAGGTGACTAGAGAAACTCTTGGAACATAGATCAATATACATGCTGTGAAAAGGTTTGACTTATGCCTTTTTTAAACATCAAAGTTTATTTTGTCTCTTCTCTGCCCTGATTTCCCAAATTTGCTATAAGCTCTGAAATTATGCATTATTCAATTTTCTTAAAAAAGTAATGGATTTTAATACACTGAATAGACTAACATCATGAAAATATTGCATAGAATATTAAGAGGAACACCTAAGAGTTTGGATGAAATGCTGACACATTTTTACTCGAGGTATTGGAAGGTTAACATGAAGTCAGCAAGGGGTGTCTTGACAGACACATTGCTTCTGTGACCGTTAAGTGTCTGATCAGGTGTATTAATTGCATTTCAGACCCATCAGACTTTCCTCACTGTGGAGAAATATGAGAATTCTTCAATGGGATGGCAGGTGGTACATAATGATGCCTCCTGGGAGACTCGGTGAGCATGTCTTGAATATTTTGTCTTTTGAGCCTTGAAAACAGCTTGTTAGTGATGTAGGGAAAACAAATGGGAAGACTGGCTCAGTACATGATATTAACGATGTCAAGTTCCCAGCTGTCTGGCCATATTTGGTTGATTTATTAGACTTCAATTCTATTTTTCTATAGAACTGTGATGTATGCTTTTGTAAGATTAGGTGCTAAGGAGGTTATGGCCTCCATTCTTATAAACATCTGTTAGTTTTTTCCCATGGTCAAAGACATTACTCCTAAAAGCTGTCGAGCCTTCTTGAAAATTGGCTGAAAGGGGTGCTGGGTGAAGGCAATGAGATATCTCTGTAGAGCCTGACATTCCTTCTGAAAAAATAATGAGTCTATACCCACAATGTGTCGTGTGTTTGGATGTGGCCAATGATTCTTCACTCAAATGATGAAAACACAAGAGCCTGAGTGTTGAAATCTTACTGACTCAAGAAAGAAATATGCTCATGGAGTTTCTTCCCAGGGCCCTACTGCTGTAGCTTTTGTAACCACATATAGTGCCTGAGCTGAGTAGATATTGTGAAGATTTAAAAGTGTGTCTAAAATAAGAAAATGTTTCTGTTCCCTACTTTACAAATTTTGCCACAGGACAGTGGCATGGAAGTGGGAAAAAATTGGGCAATTGGTTTCTAATTCAGATAACCTTAAACAAAGTGATTATTTGTGTGTTGGTTTGGCTCACGTGGTTGACCAAAAATAGAGATTTGACTGTGTTGTGGCCCATTTGATAGACATACATAAGTATGGGCACGCTTTCTCCTCTGATCTTAAAGTCTCCTGGGTCTAGGTGATTTAGAAACAAGTAATGAATACATATTTATTGTTAGCATAAGGTTATACAGAGAGTAAAGAGCTGTGACTTATTTTCAAAAGCTCAAATCAGAACAGCAGTCAACACTGAGATTACGTATACCTCTCTGCCTTGCTCAGCAATAGTAGTGCCATCCACTGTTTGTTGAGAGCACAGGGCTTATTGCCGAGAAACACAGAATGTCAAGCACATCCCTACCTCAGGGGATTTACTCTCTACTTAACTGAGGCTATTAGTCTGTTGGCCCACTGTATCTCTCTGTATCCCAAAGAGTATTTGAACACTGTGTCATGGTCTATAAGGACCAATGTGTCCGACTCCATCTGTTTCTATCATCTCAGCCACACTCCCACAGTTTACCATTCCCCGATTCCACTGACCTGCATCCTGTTCCTTGGCTGTACCAAATTTACTCCCACTTCAGGTACTTTGACTCTCTGTCTCCCCTGCCTAGAATGTTCTTCCTCTAAACATCTGTGGGTTCAGTTTAAATGATATCTCCTTAGAAATACTTCTGCCCCTACTTTCTTCATGTTACATATCATTTTAAAAATCATTTGTGGTTTATTTGCTTATTGCCTTTCTTCTATCACCGAGAAACACAGAAACTGTGGACTATGTCTATCTTGCTCCATGAAACTTAAGACCATATTTATCTTGCTCATTAGTGTATCCTCAGAATAGAGGCTAGCACATATGCTCATGAAATATATATTTTAACAAATGAATCTAGATGTGAAAAGAAGTGTCAGTTGAAGCACAAGATGACAAGGGCTAAAAGGATGGTATAGGAGTTCTAAAGCAAGAGACATCTGTGTAATGAATATCAGGTAAGATTTCCTGGGATGGACTGAGTTTAGGTAGTTAGAAAGGTGGACCAAGCAAAGGTATTTCTACAAATGGCTATTCCTTAAAAGTCTTCTTCTAGATTCTAGAATCTAGAAACTAAGTATTTATGTCTGGTTTGTTCATTGCTATACTCTGAATATCTAGACTAGTGCCTTGCTTATGGTAGGTACTCCTTGAATGTTTATGTAATGAGTAATCATATTTTTTTTCTAACTACACATTGTGTAAGAGTAAAATCTGGTTTGTTTGTTTGTTTCCTACCAACAGTTTCTATTGGCACAAGGGATTACTGGGTCATAGCAATGCAACGATACAATGGCATATTCCAGACACTGCCCAGCCTGGAATCTACAGAATAAGATACTTTGGACACATTCGGAAGCAGGAGTTTCTCAAGCCCGCTGTCATACTTTCATTTGAAAGCACTTCCTCTGCTTTTGAAGTTGCAACTACTTAGTGAAAAGTTGTCACAGCATTTAAAGGACAGCATTTGCTCTGTATAAATTACATAACTGATTTCACATGAGTGTAAGCCAGTAAGATGACTGTATAATTTCCCCAGTTTAAAGTTTACTGCTAATGGGACACAGGTGTGTTGTGGGTGTGTGCATGTGTGTGTGTGTGGGTGTATGCATGTGTGTGATGGGCCTGTGTTCCATTTACCTTGCTCTAGTAGTTTTGTACCTCATGGTCTACAGCATGATTTCCCTTAGGAACTTGTGACTGTTCCCCCAACATAAAAGCAATAGTTCCCCCAACATAAAACCTCGGAAATGTTAGTAAGAGTGGTTGAAGATGTGTGAACAAACTTTAGACTATTTATTTATAGAATTATTGAATGTTAGCACTGGAAATGTTTAAAGAGATCATTTAGTTTGGGCCTTCATTTTGCAGGTGGGAAAATGAAATTTTATAAATTTAAGATTAGCATGAAGCTATCGGACATTTCCCCCAGCCACATTAAAAAATATCATATGAACAATGACCACAAATATATAAGCCCAGTTAGAGAACAAACGTAGCATGAAAATTAGCATGCCAGTTTTTCTATATTGAGCATAGCCACTCAAAGCAGTCACTCTGTGGCTCATATGCCCAATCCAGGTTTGTTGTTGATGCTCAGATCATTTCTGGAATTGCCTTCGAGCCCACTGACAGAAAGTGAGATGTGATATTTTGATCATGCCTTGTGTTTCCCTAAGTGCCCTTATCCCACTAAATTGTGTCTCTTACAAGACTTCTTCTCAGTGAATTTGACTACTTTCACTAATCAAATTGACCACAAATCGTTGCTATTAGTGTAGATCTTAAAAAAGTGATATTGACTTGGAAGGGAGTCCTCAAAGGGGAGGCTCTAAATTTACTTTATTTGTTCTTTAATCATTCACTCACTCACTCATGGACCCATTCAATAATAAAATATTCAAGGCTTATGCTCATACTCAGCATTGTACAAATGTGTGGTACAGTGATAGTGAGCTCAGTTAGTGAGATCATATTTGGGATGCATGTATAAGTGTCAAAGGTGACTGTTTTTTTTTGAAGGAGAAAATAATCAATTCAATACACAAATTCTGGGTAGGTATTTAAAAACCAGTGATCTTCAAGTCACTTCTCATATATCTTCTGTGTTTCTGTGTTGGGTACTCTAATTTTGGAGGAAAGAGACTTCAGACAATTTGGAAAAAGCTATTTTGAAGTTATTTTGGGGCATTAAGACATACTCAACCTAATGTCCCAAAGAATGAGATATGACAATATGATATTGATTGCCTGGCAGTATTAATTGCATTTAAAGTTATCCAAGTTAACTAGGAGCTCGCAGCCTGTAAAATAAACTTCCAAAAACCAAGTCATGCTTTTGCATGTGTGTAAAACATTCAGCAATTTAGGGAAAAATCAACCTTTATTTCAAAAGCAAACTTATTTTTAAAGTTTGAAATAGTAATGGTATTACAATGATAATATTAACATCCATGTATGTAAGATTTGAACATGCACTGGTATGAACCTGGAACACTTTTTGATGAGTCAGCACTCTGCATTACAGGTACCACAGTGATTTGCTGGAGCATGAAAGGACACCATAAAGCGGCTGATCTGATCTGTTAATGTCAAAACACAGATTCAGTCTGTGTCTGTGGCTCTTTGGAGCCAAACCATGTGGAGAAATCCCCTGAACCTGATGGAGAATGTGGAAACTGAGGGAGAGGTTAGATTGGAGGAAGAATTCTTTTGGAGATTTTGATTCTGGTGTCAAAGTGTCTGTGTTTTATTTGTTGTACTCCATTCACTCTAGTTTTAAGGATGCTGTGACTTTGAAAAGTACTGTATGATCCCTCTATATTTTTCAATGAGTACTATATAAATTGTCAATATTGAACAGAATGTTTAATAAAATAATTACCCTTGGGAAAGTATTTTCTAATGAGAGGTGAGGAAGACAAATGAACACTTTTTTTTTTTCTTTTTAAGAGGTGGAACAAATGGTGATGGATCCCCTGTAAATTAGGTTGGAAAGCAATAGAAATGACCGGTGTAAGTAACCCACCCAGACATCAGAGAACCACTTCGTCAGTTCCTTCCTGCCCTCCAAAGAGTTACTGCTGGCAAAATACATATGGTTGACACTTTTTTACAACTAGGGCAACTGAGAGTTTCCTGGGCAGGTAGTTAATTGTAAACTTGTTTTATAAACCAATTCTAAACAAAGAGGCTAAGTATGAATGTACTTGTGAATATCTTTTTCCCCATTTACTCTCTCTCTCTTTTTGTAAGATTTTATTTATTTATTTTTAGAGAGGGAAGGGAGGGAGAAAGAGAGAGAGAGAGCAACATCAATGTGCGGTTGCTGGGGGCCATGGCCTGTAACCCAGGCATGTGCCCTGACTGGGAATTGAACCTGCAATGCTCTGGTTCACAGCCTGCGCTCAATCCACTGAGCTACACCAGCCAGAGCTTTCCCATTTACTCTCTTAATTCTTCTCCAGTATAAGTAAGTGCATGTCCTTCTCTAATATCGGTATATGGGTAATCTTTAGCCAGAAGATTTCAACACTACATGATTTTTTTCATGTCTCTAGTTCTTCCAAATAGTGTTTTTGGTTCCCAGTATCCTGATCTGACCTTTTATAGTGGCTTTTGAGAATTCATGTTGTATGGAAAACCAGAGAGGGAAACTTGCATATTTACCACAGGATTGGTTAGAATGCATTCAGCTATCACTAAGAAACTATTCCTGATCAACAGGGACCCAAACACTAAAATCATTTACAATATCCTGCAGCATAGATGACAACTGCAGGTTTGGGGTAGCCACTCAATGTTGTCAGTGGCTTATTTTTTTTTTAATCAACTAAAGATATGTAAGTATAACCATTCCTTTTTTTATTCTGGCTGAACTTCTACTTTTTAAAAAATAGGTCATTGAACTATAATTTTATTTTTATGACTTAAAATTTTTTATCACATTTTTTTCCATTACCATTTAACCCCCTTCTACATCACTCCTCCCTGCAATCACCACATGGTTGTCCATGTCCATAAATCCTTTTTCTTTTTTGCTCGATCCTTTCACCCCAAGCCTCCCCACCCTTGGCTGTCATCCTGCTTTATATCTTTGAGTCTGCGGCCTTTTCTCTTAATATATTAACTTTAACTCTTAGTCTTATCCCCTCAGTTGAAAGATGCCTGGGGCTACCATGTGTCTTCATACAATAGCATGAAGCAGCAAAAAGGAAGAGTAGAATTCTTAGAACCAATTTATTGGAAGGAAGAAAATATTTGTAGAATCACAAGTAGAATTTTCCTTATATTTTCTTATCTAGAACTGTGTCATGATGGTATTTTTAGCCTCTAGACAGGGAGGTGAATTCTCATAGCAAGAAAGAAGAGATGGTGGAAGTAGCTGTTCTCTGAGTGTGTCAGCCCAAATGTTTGTTATGCTGCACCTTTAGAAATTTACTTCTCAATCCCATTATATGGTCATCAAGGTCAGCTATTCTACATCTTGTCAGCAGGAACTCAGGCTGATGGAGGCTCCCATTCAAAGCCTGCATTTTTGATTTAAGGAACAGGGATATATGCTTCCAGGATTGGGGGATGTGAACATGGGGAATCATGCACCAGCTCTTAAACCTTCCACCTAGATGGGATACAAATCAGTTTTCACATCTTATGGGTAAAGGATAGAGCAGTCTGTTTGTGATCAGCCTTAATGGTGACCGCAAAAGGCAAACCATCATATCACTATCCAACTTAATGGCTCTTTGAAATGATTGGAGCTAGTTTTATTCTAGGAAATGTAGTTTAGAAAAGACCACATCTTAGTACCCTGATGATGACAGTACTTACTTTCTGTATTGCAAAATGTATGCATTCATTCAGGAAATTTACATTGAGCACCTCTATACTGATAATATACTGAGTGGCAGGCATTATGCTAAGGCCCAAAGATAGAATAATGATGAAGGCATAGCAAATTGCTGCCATCAAGGAGCCTAGAGGTTAATAGAAGAAGCAGACAGGTAAACAGGCAATTCTGTATGCGGTGACCCATACTGTGACAGTAATTTAGGGTGTTAGAGATGGTCTAACACCTCACATGATCATGGTGATAGTGTGGTAAATTTCCTGGAAGAAATAACATTTAAACTAGGGTTTAAAGGATATGACAGCTAGGAGAAAGGTAAGTGTGTGTGTGTATATATACATGCATGTGTGCAGGACAAGTAGACTATTCTAGGTAGATGGATACCACATAGTTTATCAAAGCTATATAGAGTATGAGGGAAAAGTGGTCCGAGATGTCGCACTGAACTTTGCCTTTCTAAATAGCAATTTGGTTTTACATTTGTATCAACATTTTCTCTCTTGAGATTCATTTATAACATAGAGGGCTTGAATATATTTCCCTGTTACTATACTAATGAAACACAACTTTTATAAACAAGGATACTGGTTTTGGTTTCCAGTGAACCAAACTGGGTGTCAGCCTTCTGTGTTCATGGGTGGTAACCCTGTCTCTTGGAATTTTCTTTATGAAAAGACTTCTTTTGCTTCTGTCCATCTTATATTTCCAATCTTGATTTCTCTCTTTTTTTATGCCTACTAATTTGGCAAATGCAGCCAATAAGGACCATTCTATCCCTTTAGATGGAGTCTATAAATACAGGGCAGGCATTTGTATGTTATAAGTATGTATAAATACTAAAAAATGGACCCACCCACATAAACTTAAAGTACCTTGGCAAGTATAATTTCAAATTATCAGATACTCATCCTCTGTTCATTTTTTTCTGTCTGTGTCTTAGGATAATGAGCAAAATAGAAGCCTGGGTTATTGGCTCAACATCAACCAGAGGAAAACAGATCTACCACCCTTCAGGTGTTGGAAAAGATTGGGTTGATTGTATTCTCTGTTTTATTATAGCTTTCCTATTCAATACAACAGATTCACCTTTTCCATAAGACCAGGCAAAGTTAAATGAACACAGTAACTTAAAATCCAAGAGCAATTGTAAGCTTGGCATAAAGTCCAACAGATACCCACCCCACCCCCTAAATGGCCAAAAAACCCATATGAAAATGCAGAGAAAAATGAGGTATGTTTGGAAAAAGTCCTACCATTGTTAATATAAAAAGAACTGTTTGTGCTACCTCGATGTAACCTGGCAGCCAAGGAGAGTGGATTGGAATGAGCATGTGTGAACAGTGGTGACTTCACTGTAGTAGTCAGTGGGGGCAGTAGATGCCATTGAGTAAGCATGTGTACTGTGTGACCATAGCTTTCAAAATGACTGAGTAGAGCAATGAATCTGCATCGAATTTTGCATTAAGCTTGAACATTTCTCTTTGGAAACTATTCAGATGATTCAGAAGGCCACAGTTATGAGAACTTGGTGATTGGCAGCCTCATCACAACAATGCACCCACTCATGTATCCTGTCTCGTGCAGAGTTTTTTGGCAAAATATCAAATCACCCAGGTGACTCAGTGCCTCCATAGGCCAGATTTGGCACCCTGTGACTTTGGGCTTTTCCCAAAACTAAAATCACCTTTGAAAGGGAAGAACTTTCAGACTATTAATGAGATTCAGGAAAATATGACAGGGCAGCTGATGGCAACTGGGAAAACTGTATGAGGTCCCAAGGTGCCTACTTAGAAGGGGACTGAGATTTCATTGTCCTATGTACAATGTTTTTAGTATTTTGTATCTTTTTCAATAAACGTCTGTAATTTTCATAGCGCGTGGCTGGATACTTTAAGGACAGACCCCATATATCCTTAAGTGGAATTTCAATAACTTAGTATGTGTGATTTTATAAATAAAGTCGGTGCCAACATGATGAAGAGAGTATATACTTTGATGTTTTTCCAACACAGTGGGTGGTATTGTGCTGACCCAGTGCCATTGTTTTATCAGTTCCTCTTAACCTGAAGTCCACAAATGTAAAATATTTCATTGGAGTGAGGGGTAGCTTATAGGCATGGGGCATAAATGGGAAGTTGTATAAAGCGAAAGGAAGAACCTAGACTTTAGAGTCAGGTTAACTTGGATTGAATTATGGCTATGATGTGAAGACTACTTAACATCCCTGGTTTATGAAATGGTGATGGCAATAATGACCTTCTATGATTGGTATGGACTTGTGTATATGGTTAAGAGAAAATATTCTGGAAACTTACTGGTTCACATTTATTCAGTGTCAGATTCTGAGGAAATTACTCAATTTCCTAAAGTCATAGTGTCTTAATGGATCTCAATTTCTTGTTTAAAATGAGAACAATAAAAGTACTTACCTTTTTAGTGCATGAGACTACATTAAGATAAGGTTGTTGATGCAGTGCTTCGCTTATGATACATGTTTAATTTATTTAGCTGTTAATTAATGTAGCTATCATTGAGTGCTATATAAGATGATGTATCTAATCTAAGTACCTGGAAAAGAGTAGGAAATAAAAATTCTTCCATCATGAACTGAATCCATGATTTGTCTCAAAAATATTATGCTTTTCCCAATATTTTTCAAAGTTATGCTCTAATATTAACGTAGGAAGAACTGGATTGGGCGGATAACAGGCCATTAGAGATATTAAGGTTGAGAAATAATGGAAGTCAAAATGTGGGATGGTATAAAAGCCTATAGTTGAAATGGACACGACTTAGTGATTGACTATGTGGAGAGGGGGGAAAGACAGAGTTTTAAAAAATAAAACCCTGAAACACTGTTGGGGTGATTTGACAGGACATCTAGGTAGCAAAGGCCACACACAGAGAGAAAAGTGGAGTGGGGGCATTGGAAAGAAATTGGGACAAAACATAGAGATATGGAAAGCAACAATTTCAAACTGATAGTAAAATTCAAGAAAGCTGATGACTTTGCAAAAAGGAGG